TCAGTTGTCAATGTTATATTTACTCAGGGAAAGGAGCCTGGCAGCTTTGATGTCACTTGAGTTCCAATCAGGGATGGGTGTGGTTAGGTATCTCCTGGAGAGTCTGGCCTTCAGATTCCAGAGAAGCCAGGAGATGAGAGTGCCGACCCTTTACTGAGATTGGCAGGGTGGGTGTACCTCCAGAGTGAAGCTTGAATCTACTGCCAGGAAACACAAACTTAGCCCAATGGTCACAAAGGAATAGCAGAAGTTGACTCCATTTCACTCGCTACTGGAACTCCACAGTTAGTTAAATAGTGTTTTTGCTAGAAGCGAGATTATAGGTAGCCAACACCTTGGCCTTTTACCTAATTCATCATTCATTCTGAACGATCCGGAAATGTAAAGAGGTCCTGATCTAAGAGTGCTATTTCTCAGTTATCCAATGATTTGTGTCCTAACAGCAGCTTCCTTCAATCTTGCATGACCTAATATCACAGAAACAGTCATATTTGATACTAGCCCACACAAAAGAAGACCCAGAACAATTTTATCAATCTTCTACTTATTTCTCTAAGGAAGTCTGAGTTTAGCATGATCAGTTACCCAACATTTAACACAGATCATTGTGAAGACCATAGGCCCACATTTCAGGGAGCCTGGCAACTTACTATGCAACCTAGTCACTTTATCTTATAACACCAGAAGCTCAAAAAGTTCATCAGTTGCAGCCAGCATAAAATTTCATTTTCTGAGATCTGAAACAGAAAACTTTATATATTAGGCAGCCACAGTCAATGGACTGGATGTCTGATTACAAGGGGTAGCTAAAAAAAAAAAAAACCAAAAAAAAAAACAGTCTGTGAAAAGTCCTTTGTCTTAAGAACTCAGTGTTGTTCAAATTCAATGAAGACACAGTGCAGACTCTGTATGGTAAGGGCTTGCCCTACTCTCAGATTCCACATAGGCTCACAGTGACTCACTTGGGAGGTCAGTGAAGGAGCAGCTTAGTCATCACAAAACAATGGGTTCCTATACGGTTCTTCATCTGTCCTGCAAGCTACACTGTCCCTTCTACAACCTTCCTTTGGAATGCAGAGAATCATAGCAGCCATTGCTTTCTAAATCACAATGTCCTGTGTTAACTAGAGAACAAAAAAAACCCAAAAGACTTTACTGTTGATGAATTTCTCCTGATACCCATGTGTCCTTGGGAGAATATCATGTTGGACTTCATACCATATCTCCCTGTGCTAGGACCACAAAACAATTCTGATGGTTATGACCACCCTGATCTAAAACAACAACAACAACAAAACTCCAAGAAACAACTGTCTAAACTGCAGTATTCTTTGCAAAGAGAGCAGTCTACCTCAGATCACTTCTGTACTAACTCAAGGGTCTTGCTTCTCAAAAAAACTTGGAAGGATCTTTGACCCCTGATTTCAGCCATCCTCTGCTATTACCTAGAGACAATTAGACAATAGACATGTTGAGAATTTCTCTGCTGTGGCAAAATTTGTAGACACTGAAATATTACCTTCTTACCCTGAAACCGTACACCAGGAGTAGAGATAAAACTTCAACTCAATAGGGAGGTGACATTTCAGCCATGAGTCACTGCAATTGTGATCCCACAGCATCCGATACTGTGTCCACCTGGCCTACAGGAGACTGCGCCTGTCATTTATCAGGAGTGAAATGTGGAATAGAAGCAAAATGATGCCTGAAATCTCCAAGTTCAAACAGGCTTCTTAGGAGAACAGTAATTCCCTCTCCCATTTAGTTTCTCATTCTCATTATTAGGTGAAAAACTCCTGGTGAAAAGAAATATCATTATATGCACATATTTGAAGATGAGAGTGTTATTAAAGGGACATGACTTTAGAGATTGGACCATAGCATTAAACATTAAACATATCACAAAGTCCAGTCATGGAAAGTCATAAGCAACCAACCACCACCAACTTAAACAATCATAAATCAAACCAGCATACTGTTATTAAAAGTAAAAATAGCCATGATAGAAAAATCATTGCCTAGAAGTTGAAGTAAGATAGATGATGTTCTAAAAAGAAAGTGGCTTTCTTTCAAATTATTAAAAGCTGGAGTTCTTCGTGTCATTCATGAACATCACTCTGTATCCTTTAAATCATCTCTGCTTAGAATACCCTAGGTGATGTAAGTCCTATAAAAAATAGGTTATTCAATTATATTGTCTGGGGAATAATCACAGGACGAAATGGTCTTTATGTGAAAAATTATTTGAGATACAGTTATTGGTTGACTCTGTGGATACAGAATCCAAGAATGTAGAAACTGACTGTAACTCCTAAACTCAACAGGCAACTGTTAGTAAGATGCTTATGTAAAAACAGAATGCCATGGAAGAAGACTTTTCCCAGTAGGACCCACAGACAGGACATCATTTGGGATTTGGGAGGATCACAAATTCACCAGGAGGAACCATGGGCCTGTCTGCTGTCTGTGACTGTGCTGATGGTTATGCTGGAAATGTTGGGTGAATACCTGGTTGAGTCACTACTCATGTCGATTGGGTGTTAAAAGCTCCTTCCTATGCTTTGATAGATAATTCATTCTCTTTACCCCATGGCAACTACCTGGGACCCACCCCCGACCAGGGATGGCTATTTCATGATGCTCTTCCATCTTAGCAGATAGGAAGATTTCCAGAAACATTAGTCATTGGCTAGTACTTCTTAACAAGTAGCTATTCTAGAAATAGAGCACGATGGTAAGTTACCACAATAGTGTAAATTCTTAGAGTCCTGAGCTCAAACATGGATGATGTAAGTTCTTTGGGGATAAAAGGTACAATTATCAATAAAGCATGTCAAGAATGCAAACGCTTCTGAAGTTCTGCATTTATATCTAGTATTAGAAATCTTGAACCAGTTTATCAATAACAAATATGGGCAACTAGTCTATGACCTAAACCAGGATAAACTATTATTCTGTATTTGCTATAGACTGTTAAGACTAATAACATATTTTATGAGTTGAAGTATTTACTTTTTCTGTACATAGGAATATTTAGATGAAGTTCTTCAAGTGACCAAAGTTCTCATAATAGTGAACAGAATCTGAAAAATCAGTTTTTTCTGACAATCTGCATAGGACCTAATTTAACTCTGCAGTTACGAAGAACAAAGCACATAAACAAGGAAACTTTAAGGAAATTTTCATTTCTAGAAAAACAGCAAAGACATTACACAAAAGACATTACACATTACTGCACTGACTGACAGATATTCACAAACTCCTAACAAAAGTCGACAGTTTCCTGCCAACGAAACATGCCAGGGGCCTCAGGATGTGGGTAAGACAAACGTGTTCCTGTGGTAACCATTTCCCAAACAACAAAAATAGTTAAAAACACAGAGCCTTGCTCAGCTGTGGCCTACCTGGTCCCCTGACTTGTGAAAGAAGGTACAGAGTGGACTAAACTGTTCCCACAAATAACTGAGAGACAAACACTGATTACAAATCAGCAAAAGCTGATAAAGAATTCTGCTTTAATTGGACAGCAATGGTTTTTGTTTGTTTGTTTGTTTTGTTTTTTTTGAGACAGGGTTTCTCTGTGTAGCTTTGGAGCCTATCCTGGATCTCACTCTGTTAACTTGGCTGGCCTTGAACTCATAGAGATCCACCTCCCTCTGCCTTCCGAGTGCTGGGATTAAAGGCATGTGCCACCACTGCCCGGTAGCAATGACTTTTTAATCTATAATGGCAAGAAATACCTTAAACATAGTTTGACATTTATCAAAAAACATCTTTTCTCCTGTGACATTATCTTTTGGGTTGGCATACTATTCCACAGCCACATAAAATAAAATCTATATGTAGTTCTTAAGTTTCTACTCAATCCAAAATAAATAATAATCCTATCAAGGATATAAACATATTGTCATTCAATTAAGATAAAGATGACACTTCATTTCCCATAGTCTGATATTGTTTCCTTAACTTTTTCACAGTCTTAACTTCCTTTAAGATCTACACATCCATACTATTTTGTCCATTTCCCTGGTTATTGTCATGAATTCATCTTATGAACCTGAGTTCGAGAGCCACAACTTTTATATCTTTACTACTAAGGGTGAGAGATGGGGAGAGTTGGGTAGTAAAATGAACTAGTATTTATTACTTAAATCTAATACACAGTGCATTTAACATTTATCATCTTAAATGAGCTTCGTAAGAACAAAATAAGATAGGTACATAATTATTTCATAAATTGAGGCACCAAACATCTTCAGTGCTTAGGGATTAGATACCCAAGGTCTACAGTTAGCAGTGGACAATGCCCCCTGTTTAATCCCAAAGATTTCCAGCAGCTTTCTAACAGGCAAGTGTGGTATTTCCATTTCCTTAAAATATTAATGATTTCTTTGAACTACTCTCTTAACTCAATACAAAATATATCATAAATAGTTATAAACCAACTATAGTATGCCTATACCAATTTATCACAGTGACTTCATAAATATGTATAATTTAAATTTAAAATAATATTGAATTGAAATATATATATGTTAAATGTGTAATTTGTATCCAATACTCTTGTTATTTGCATAAACTATTGTATGGATTTATGCCACTTTAAACCATAACCACCTTCTTTTCCATTTTGCCTGAAAAGCAATATATTACAGAGAAAAGTTACTTTGGAAATCACCTTTTAACAACAGTTTTTGAAACAAAGATAGAAATCTCATAAAAGAAAAATTCTGGCATGGTATCCTTCTGACATCTGTTTGCTCAGTGTATTACAGTTAACTATTTTTAGACTGCTCCAATATTACTGCGAACATCAGATAATAATGATCAATATTTTAAGCAGGTAAAACTTAGTTATATATATGGATTAATACAAGAGAAAATGCAAATGTAGCATGCCTATTTTCATTAATAGGAATTAAGTAAAATACACAAATTAGCATTAAGGAAAGTAATTTATTGTGTTTCATTTACTGAAATTATTCCATGTTAGTATGTACCTTATAGTCTTCATAATCGTTTCTGTCAAGCAAGTTCCTTTTCTCCAGCTCTATAAGGTATTCCCCGGTGGCCTCTGCAGCCCCGTGTTTAAGAGAAGCCTGTTCATAGATGGGCTTTCCGCTGAAAAACAGTTCTTTCCAATCATGCATTATCTTATGTGGAATGAGATTACTGGGACAAAAAGAAAAAGGGAAAGGATTATGAATGTTTTAGTGAAATACACACCCCAATCACTGTTCTTTTTTTATAGTTATGTAAATGATTCGGCTTCATTTGACTGAAACAGAAATGATTAACTCAAACAATTTTAAAGGTTATCACATGTACAATGTCAGAATTACCAACACACATTAGACTTTTTTGTTCTGATGATATGCACATAAATAAACTGTTATCTTAAGGGAGCCTTGGTGTGCATTTATTCTAGTCATTTCTAACAGAAGTAGAATGTTGGATCATTTAAATTATGTCTTAAGATTGCCGTCATTTGATGCCAAAGCTGGGAATTAAAAAGCCTAAGTTTTTGGATCACCCTCATTGCTTTAGATAAACTGTTCTTTTGCACCACAGATAATAAGAAAGGTCTGAAGAGCCAGGGACACCAAGCAACGCTTAAGTTCCAGACATTTCACAAGATAAAAGAGCAAATGCAATCCATAGTCTCCGATAGCCAGCTCTGGGAAGAAGGGTCAAAGTGATGAAGTAAACAAGAGATTCAGCTGAGGATCATACAATGGGAGACTGTAACAGCATGGCCTGACCAGATTTGTTGGTTTGAGAAAAGCCTCTTTGAACAAATGTCTGCTAAGCTGAGGCCCAAAGAATGTCTCAGAGGAAACCAGGACAGAGTGACCAGAAAACATCTCTGAGAGGAACAAAATGTGTGAAAGGAAGAGGTTGGCATGACTCTGAAAATGTCTCTTTTTAAAAAATGGTTCATCTAGAATTTGAAATCACAACAAAAAAAAAGTTGTATTTGCAACATGGATGGACCTTGAAGAAATGCTAAGTGAATAAATAACCCTGATACAAAAGGACAGATATTCTGTGCTTCCATGAATACAGCATGCCTAGAAAGGATGTATTTGAGGACATAAATTAAAATAGAGGCCATCAAGAACTGGAAGGGTTGGTGCAGGGATCTGTTATTCAATGGGTACAGATCTAAAAAACCTTTCTTGTTTAAAGGGTTATGTATGTGGTCAGGTCAGGGGTCTTGAAAAATCAGCTCTCATCGTACTTGGGCATCGATTCTCTTTTCTTACTCCATCAGTTGCCAGAGTGGAAAGCTAAAATTACCTGTGTTCCTTCTTGCAGTATTTTAATATTTCTTTTAGTGGTGATTTCAATATGACATATTTGGAGGTGGTCTGGCTTTGTGATTGCAATCCACTAAATTACTCCACATATTTCACTCACAAAAAGAAATGAAAAAAAAAAAAAGCCAGCTATCTGGCCTTTAATGTTTCTCACACAGAAGGATGCAGTGACAGCCACAGCTACAAAGGCTGCTAAAGCAGAAGAGCTTTTGAAAGCAGTCTCTCTAGTCTTCACGAATATTGATAACCTTGCTCCTCGGGACTCCAACCTCACACTCCCCCAACCCCTTGTGCTGAGGTTCCGGGGGAAGAAGAAAAACACTTGCAGTGGTTTCTGGCCTGAACGTCACCCTTTCTTCTTAATTGTAATTCTTCTTTTATAAAAATAATATTTCATTAATCCTTAGAGAATTTTATACACTATATTGATCATGTTCACACCCCAGTTCTCCCATATCTGCTCCCTTTCCCCTCTAGTTCATGTCCCTTTAAAATTTTTTAATGTTTTAAATTGAAATTGAATTACATCACTTCCCCCATTCCTTCCCTTCCCTCGATTCCCTCCCAGCTGCCCTCTCTCAAACCCCTTCCGTACCCTCTTACTCTCAGTTTGATAGCCTCTTTTTATTATATTTCTACTACCACCACTTTGCTAGACCAGGATTCTACATCTTATCTACCATCCCTCATCCAAGAGACTACTCTTTATAGCAAATGGAGGCCATTACAGAAAACCATACTAAAGGCAATACCAAGATTAAAAGATTTTGGGGTCCTGAGTTCAACATCTTCATCACAGCTTCTGCATCTATGCCTCAAGGGAATGTCACAGAAGAGGGGGCAGACATATTGTAATAGCCAGGGTGTCTGGAAATGTGCTATGAAACAGTCTCTCCTAGAAATGGCTGCATAAACAAGACCTCAACAATAATAATATCAATATTATGCTAACATGGGTGGGACAAATGTTTGTGGGAAACCATCCCTAGGCACAGAACTATAAGCAATTAACTCTAATTCTTTTTTTTTCCTTTCTTTTTTAGTTTTTCGAGACAGGATTTCTCTGTGTAGTTTTGGTGCCTATCCTGGATCTCACTCTGTAGACCAGGCTGGCCTTGAACTCACAGAGATCTGCCTGGCTCTGCCTCCCAAGTGCTAGGATTAAAGGCGTGTGCCACCACCGCCTGGTATTTTTTTCTGTTTTTATTTTATTTTTCCTAATTCTTAAGATTAACTGGGACTTCAGAACTGCTCAGTGGTTCAGAAAACATGCTGTTCTTCTTAGAGTATCTGAGTTCAGTTCCCAGCATCCGTAGCAGGCAACTAACAACTGTCTATAACTCTAGCTCCAAGGGATCTGATACCCTCTTCCAAGTTCTGTGGGCACTATCATACTCATATATTCATACATAAATAAAAATGTTAAAAATTATTCATTAAAAATGTATCTGTACATTTGGACTAGCTATTCCATTTTCTTAAATGATCCAAATTCTATCAGCTTACCTCATATAAGTAAAATTTTGCTTTGTTTTTACAATCATGATTTGGCATTGATATAGTTTAGACACAGAACACTTGAAAAACCTCAGAATTACTAATGTGACATTTCTATAGCCTTATTCTCTTCTCTCCCAACTATCCCTTCTTTGGAGACAGTCCCAGTTTCTGTAATTCTCTAACTTTAAAAGTGCTATATAACTAGGCTGGAGAAATGGTTCAAGCAGTAAAGTTCTTGTCTTGTAAGCAAGAGGACACAAATTCAAACCCCAGAACCAACACAAAAAAGGCTGGTGTGATAGTATGCTGTTGCACTCTTAGCATTGAGAATGCAGAAATAGGTAGATCCCTGGCTTGATGGGCAGCCAGACTAGCCTACCTGCTGAGCTCCAAAATCAGTGAGAGATCCTTAAAAAATGTGGTGGGAGTGAGAGATTTCCCAAAGCCCGATAACTTGAGCTCAATCTCCAGCAACCATTACAGAAGGAGAGAATTAACTTCTGAAAGTTTGTTCTCTGGCCTTCTCCCAACCTGACACACACACACACACACACACACACACACACACACACACACACACACACGATCTAATGTGTGAGAGCATGGTGGTACATGCTATAATCCCCACACTCAAGAGGCTGAGGCAGTGTTTTTGAGTTGCTGGATAAGACCCAGGCTAGATAGCTATAAATGGAATCATATGGTTTATAAGCTTTAGGGATTGGCTTTTCACTTAGCATAATATCTGGCGATTCTATCAGGGTGTGTCATGTACAAATAATTTATTCTTTTTATTGCTCAGTATATGTCATGGTATGGACATACCACAATTTAACATCACTTGCTGAAAGACACATGGGTCACTATTAGTATTAAGCTATTACTATATGGATTTTATAAGCTTATGTTCATAGGCTTTTGGGTCAATATACAGCTGAAGCTCTTAAGGAAAAGTATCCACATGGAAGTTGTATGTTCAGCTTTTTAGAAAACTGCCAAACTATTTTCCAGAAGGGCTTTACCATTTTTACACTCACTAATGACGAATGAGTGACTTTCTACATGTCAGTGTGAGTAGCATTTGGTGTCACTTTCCTTCATTTTAGACTTTCTGATAAGTGTGTGTAATGGTCTCTCACTGTGATCTCGGTTTAAATTCCTCTAATGTCTGATAAAGTTGAAATTTCTGTATGTGTTGTTCAGTAATACGCTATTTTCTTTCTTCGATGAATTTTCTAGTTTGGATTAATTTTCTTTGCTTTCTGGTAAAGGTTTTGTGTATGTCTTTCTGTTTCTTAAAATTACATACTCTTTGGTAATTTCATATATGAATACACTGTATTCATACCCAACTCACCCCATTCTCAAACTCTTGCTGGATCTATGCCCTCATATCATCCTCCTCCTAAGTTCATTTCTTCTTCTTCCTTCTCCTCTTCCTCTCTTTTCTTCTTCACAATGCACTGAGAGTACAATTATTGCTGTCTGTATGCACATGGATAAAGGGTCAGCAGCTGGAGCATGGACAACCTATGCATGGCCCACACTACTGAAGCAAACAGTGACGCCTTGCCACTGACTGAAGAGACTTTGGCAGGTGACAGATTTGGGGGGGCAGGGACGTCAGTTGTTTTTCTTCTGCAACTTTAGAGAATGTACATGCCAGCTATCATTCCTCTATTGAAATTGTGTTATATAAATACTCGATCCAACCCTATGTTTTACTGTCTTTTTCAAAGCAGCTTTTTAATTTTATAAAAGTCCATTTATTGACTTCTATCTTTTGCACAGCAAAAGGTTTTCCATTGTAATGAAGTAGAGTCTGTCAAGTTTCTCTTACAAATCATGGTTTGGGTATCATATCTAAGGCTATTCACAGGACAACAAAACACTTCTCTCATGTGAAAAATTTTATACCCTATTTTACATTTCTACCGAGGACTCACTTTCATTGAATCTTTATATGTTATGTGAAAAATATATAACAGGTCAATTAAAATTTTTATTTTTGTGCTTGTGCATATCAATTGCACCAGTATTATTTCCTAACAAGGTTGTCTTTCTTTCATCAAATTGTTTTAGAATCTTATCCCAATCAGGTGGGTCATTTTGTAGAGTTCTGTATTTGGACTTCTCTATTCTGATCAGCTGATATGTGTGTTGGCCCTTCTACCAACAGATCATACTCTTCATTATCTCATGAATCACAGAACTGGGGAATTCATCCCTTCCAATACATTCTTCCTTTTTAGCTACTTTATTTCTCATATGAATGTAATAATAGTCTCATCTATATTTACAAAATAAAGGGGTAATAGTAACTTCATTAAATGAATTGGAATTTGATCATTT